CGCCTCGGCCCTTGGGTCCTGCGTCGTAACCCAGAGCGAGGGGCAGGCGAGGGCGGAGGAGGGGCGCAGCAGGGCGCCTCGCCTCATCCCGCCTCCTCTCCTCTCCTCCCCTTCTCCCTCGCCTCAGGTGGCAAAACCTCGCCTCGGGGCCGCTGATGTAGTTTTAGTGCAACGCACAGGCTGCGTACAAGGAGCAAACCGGGTCAGCTACAAGCTAGAGAATAAGTCGTGTGCGTAGATTTCTTGTGGAAGAGGGCAGGTACAACTGGCGAAGTAGTGCAGCTAGGCAGGTGTTCCCCCATAATGTTATTATACTGCACGTGTGCCTCCTAAGTAAACTCAAGAGGAGGGATGACTGGTGAGGAGTCTGTAGACCACAGCCAGCCAATTAAGCAACAGGTCTTTAAAGTAGAACAAATTTTACTGAACGAAATAATAATGGAGAGCGAGAAGGGCAGAGATCCTTGCTGGAAGTGCTGCTGCACGTGTACGGCCAGGGGAAAAGCTGGGCTGCCAGGAAAGGGTTGCTGCAACCTACGGGCTCTTACAGATGTGGTACGATCCTGATTACCTGTACACTTGAAATTGGTCACCATAAAAAAAGACTGAGAACTCACAATAGCAGCAGTAACAGGACAGTGAAGATGTCTTGCAGTTAAGCAGAGAAAATGCGAATTCCAGTACAAGGGTTATGAAAACTGGCAGAATAAGTACACAATTACCTTTATTTAAAAAATAGTGTTTCTACCACTTGAACTTGGTAAGAAAAAACTTGATGGCATCAATCAAGTACACTCTAGAGCAGTAGTGATTCCCACATAGGAAAGAGCATGAGATGTGCAATGGGATGGAGAGGGTGTTTTTGTTGCTGTCTCATGTAGACCATGACCACATTAGCAGCTGAGACCTCATTGCTGTCCTGATAAGCATCACTTTGGACTGAATTGCCAGTGAATGTAGGTGCTGTTTAAAGTATGGAACAATTTTTTTTTTTTTCATGTTAAGCCATTAAGTTTCCTAGTTTAACAAACACAGTTAGAACATGCAGAAAGACTGAATAGTCTCTCAAAGAAATGAATAGTTGTATATTCTTTATGGCAAAGAGAACTGAGGCATGCTATACTTTTCAGCAACATACATTAATACTAAGTAGTTAATATACAAGGATGGTATTCACCTTGACTTGTGTAATCATAAACAAAAGTACAAAGGAAGGTCTCTTAAAAAGAATGAAGTCAGTTGCATAGTTAGTTTATCAAACTGCTGAACAGTGGGAATTGCATTTTTCGTTCTGGTTTTAAGAAAACTTCTTCATGAAGTACAGTTTCAGGTATGCAATGGTAAGGAATATTACTGTCATGCAGGCGAGAGCCAGGTGGTTCTGCCACAGGCCCCAGCTACTTGCATCAATGCCTTGATTTTTCAGATATTCATCTCCGGTGCACCACCTATGGATAAATACACACACATTTATAAACTTAGTCAGTTTGAAGTATCTACAAAGATCCACAGAAGTTGTAGTGTGATTTCACGTATATAATAGGCCAGGCAAACACCAGCTATATGGTACTATTTTATTTTCTATTTGAAACTTGTTTTTGTTGTAGCTACAATCAGTTTCCTATAGGAAGCTGAAATGGATTTTGTGAGGCTGTATATGGTAGTGTGTGTGTATGTGTTTCAGTAAACACAGTTTAAAGAAAAGAAAGAAGCATAATGCCAGGTATTTCTAGTGTTATAAATACTAAATATGACAATAAGCAGAATGTTCTCTGCAGACAGAATGCAGAAACCCAGTCAAAACTTCATTTTCCATATAAAAACTTACTGATGACCAGCAGAATCTGTATCTCACAAACAGACTAATGCTCTAGGACTTTGTAAGTTACTGGTGGTGGGATTCATTTTAATGTACCAAAATACTTACGGCTGGCTTATCTCTTGATCGTTATTGTTGCTCATTAAATTTGTGTTGTTACTGCTGCTGCAAAAGTTCAGACCAGTCAATTCATTGATTTGTAAAGCCTTTTAAAATAAAAGAAACAATGACAACATAAATTAGTAGGTAAATAAATGACATATTAACAAGATGAAATATAATTCAATTCAAATTTATTCTAAAAACATGATGGTATCACTATTTATTATGTTGCCCAAATCCCCATTTTTAACTGAGCAGCACGGTTCTTTTACGAAAGGAATGTATGCAGTCCACACCCTGCAATGCACGTGCGTCGCCAGGCTTTAACACTTCCCCCAGGCTAGACTATTTCTGCACAGGAGTAGTAAAACCCAAATTTCTCTGCAAAACATCACCCTGGCTTAAATTACCAAAAATTAGGGGAAAAGTTTTAGCCTGACAAGTTTTTGTTTGAATTGATGGAAAAGAGAAGAATTGGGTTTTTTTTCTTTTACTCTGTATCGTTTTTGTCCAACTACATTCCGGTGGATGTAGTTGTTTAGTGTCTCTCTCATTAGGAGGTATTTCCAAGTTACAGAAATGAGTTCTTGTAAACAACAGTGGGTGCCGGTTGATGAGAAATCTTTCTTGTTTCAAGATACTGCCTTACGTTCTAAGGCTGCTGTACTTAATTAGCTTACCTTTTGCTCATTAGCCCATAAAGTTTGGAGTTCTCTTTATCATAAGTAAAGACATTCCTTTCTAGCAAATCTTCCAGGTCTGTACACAGGAAAATACAGCACTTACTGTCATTCCGTATCGAGGGATGCTAAAGTATTTGAGCCAGGAGAGCCAGGACATGATGCTTGTGAGATTGACCAGCAACCCGGAGAAAATCTAGAGGCAAGGATTACAAAAAAGCCACAACAACAACAAAATTACAAATTACATACCATGTGTTCTTCTCTAGCTCTTGACTCTGCTTCTTCAGATTAAAAACAAGTGGGAAGACATTTTTAGAGGAAGAAACTCTTCTAGTGGAAAAACAGGGGAGAGGGAAGGAATCATTTCTGTTACCCAGCTTTGGGCCATAACCCCATGTGATCCTTCTGCCAGAGTAACGGGGAATGCTTTCACCTGTGCATTAAACCCAGATGCTTCCCATCTACGGGTTCCACATGGGTTCACATGAACTGTCTGCTGTTACTTGGGTGTGTGGAGCTGCTGGAGGTGTGCACTCAGTTTTGCTTGTGTGCCCCGAGTCTGAGGCAATGTGGGTTTTGGCTGTTGGTTCAGTGCTGCCTTTATGGTGCCTGTGTTCTAACTGTAGCTGTTTGTGTGTTGTCCGGTTCTAACGTGCCCAGTGGTTGGCTCTGCAGCTGAAGAGAGCAACTACAGTAGTGGTCCCAGAGAGCAGGACGCTACGGGTCATGTCCTCAGCCAGCCAAATTTGTCTTTGGCAAAGCTAAAGGAGAGTGAATGTAATGTAGCTCCAGGCCGCTTTTCTGCTTTCCAGGCAGTACGCTGGCTGCCAAGGCCACAGAGAAGAGGTCAGAGGAACCACTCTCCCTCCCCCTCAAACCCAGCCCCCCAGCCCCTGGGTTCTTGTTAGTTAAAAGGACAAATCAGAATATTCGATCCACAGTATCAGAATATTCAAATCAGACAAATCAGGATATTCAACATGCTCAACCCCACAGTCTTTTTGCAGAATTCAGCTGAACTCTGTGCTGGTAGGATTTCGGGATTCAGTCTAGAAAACTGAACAATGCTACTCACAATCATAAAAACAAATGTGATAGTCATGAACAGGTTTGCTACAGCGACCACGCTCTGTCCTGCTGCAATGGCTAGTGCCATAGAAGTGGCTGTGTAGGACACCATCATAAGGGTAAACATCATTGTAAAGAAGGCTTCTACTGTTGGTTTCAAACCTTAAAGATCAGAACAAGAAGGGTTTCAGTATGATCCTGCCAAAAGCTCTACCACTATCCTGACTTATGTAGTGCATCCTGCCTATGGAATACATTTTGTCTGACAGCATAGGCTATGTCACTGAGACCCAGGACTGGAGTGGGGCTTGTGACAGCCCATATGGGTATGCCCTGACAACAGAGGACAGGATGAATAAATAGTATGCAGTAACACTGGAGACAGCAGAAGTACTGTACTCCACACAGTCCAAGGTGAAGACTTCACTGTGGCTTCAAGTTGTCTATCAAAGGAGACATTTCTAGTGCACTTCCATGAGCAGCAGTTGTACAGCATTTCACTTGTTTCCAGCAGAGAGCTCTCCAAATGGACCTTGGGTGGCTATGGATTTGGTAGCGAGGTCTATCTCACTTTAGTTTCACAGTCTGAGAGCCTGTTGCTGAAGTGGCCTTGTTTCCTATTCCTTAGGTAAAAAAACTCAGACCAAAGCGAACTGTGATTATTTTTAGATTTTGCTTGTACTTTCAAACCTTACCCTAGGAAAATGGTCTGATTGCGACATGTTTTGAGGATGATGTTTGAAGGTGTTCTAGGGTTGCAAAAGTTGGTGCCAGCAATTTTCAAAGTCTGCTCACTGATCAGAAGGCATTTCACCAAAAAGAACAAGCTGATATTAATTCACACAATATTAAGTTTTTAAAACAAAACTTTTTCTTTGATAGATGTTTTTGCAAGGATGGATAAAATATCTTGTAAAAGTCACTGGAAGCTAAGATGGACATAAATGAAAGGGAATAAATCAAACCTATGTAGTAATGATTATGGCGCGCTGCCTTCTAGGGACAGTGGAGATGAGACATGCCACAGATCTGACAGGAATGCTTAAATCTTTGGAAGTGTGTCTTTTCTGTAAACAGTATGGTATCCTAAAAGCAAATGTAGTAACCACTGCCATGTCGATGTAGTGCTTTAGCCCATATAAATATACAGGTATACATGCACATATAAAAAATGTGAGTGCCTTGTTGATTTATTGATAGGGTTGTAATGGAACTGTAGGAGACCATACTTGCCTAACATGAAGTAAATTATACAGGTGAAGATGATGCTTGGTATAGTCCTCATGGGTATTAAATCAGCCATTAGCTTTGAGATGAAATATGCAGATGTTCTGTAGTACCCACTGATATATTCATGTCTGGAACAGAGATATATACAGCATATTACAAATTTAATCACTAAAACCCACTAAGATTATTTTCACCTGGAGACAAATGAATTCTAGCTCAAACTGGAAAAAAAAGAGTTCTTTCATGGTTAGGCTGTAATGCAAAAGTCCAGTATCCACATACTATAGTAATGGAGGCATTTTCATATGGATACTAATGCACATAATTTTTAGTAAATGTATGTGTCATGTCATCCAAACAGAGAGGGAAGGTAAAGCTTAAATAATTTTCATTTTCTGTACAGTGTAATCTGCATAGCTTTAAGGAATCCAGTCAGTATTTACTGTCCTCACTAGCAAGTCACAAACTTATTAATCAATACCTAAATTGAGTAGTCAGGGTTTTTTTCCTACATATGTTAATAATTTTAAACTCTGAGCCGTTTGCAATCATAGGGACTGTTTTGGGGATTTGCAGACAACTCACTAACAAGCTAAAAGAGTACACTTGCAATGAGCACTAACAGTGAAATAATTTGAAAACTCTGCACTAGGTTACTTAGATGACAATTAGCTACAGCAGGGCAAACAAACAAGCTCTCTAACAGTAGTCCCCGATAAACTTTTTGTATGTTTTACTTACGTAAATATCTTTTTTTCCACAATAAAGAGTTCAATAGCTGAGATGCTGCTGAAACACTGGTTGGTGGTCAGAAAGAACATTGCACCCACTCTACAAAAAGCAAAACACCGAGCTGTTATTAAAAATCTAATGTAAATGTAGTGTTTCTGCTGCAGCGTGCATAAATCCAACCATAGTGCCTGGAGCTCAGCAGTACGTGACCTCCCATCCCAAATTCCATGGGAAAAGGCTTGGTTACAAGTCCAAGTCCATAAAAAGCCTGAAGTAGACATGGTACAGGCAGTATTTGTTATTCGCATCCAATGTTCTCTGATGCAGTCAAACGATAGAAAGTGAACTAATTTTCCTTTTTTTTTGGATGTAATTTCATGACATGTTAAAAATTCTCAGTCTGTGAACTGAATAAGCAATGTGAGAAGTTGTTTTCACCTTTTCCACTAAAATTTAAGGCTTTGCTTTCACACTTTCATATCCAATTTAAAACTGGGCCATTTTTAAGTAAATCCTATGACGTGTTTCAGGACTAAGAACCCAGAGCTTTCTTAGTTGCAGACCCCTTTGTCAGGTCACATACATACAGCTGTCAAAATGATACATAGACCAGAATAATTTTAAAAGCTAGCTTTAGATGCACCTTCTGACATACTGCTGGTAAACTCAAGCGTGTATATAGAAGGAGTTGCAAGATCAAAGCTTTAGTTACCTAGGTTTATGTAGCCAAGTCTGTATATTTTAATCTTTAATCTTTTCATCTTGAGGAAATCTTTGTAGAAAGTTAAAATGCTGCCATGCTGTATTAAGCCTTTTTAATATGATGTCTGCTGTTCGGCGTTTTCAGCAACCTGAAAACCTTTCAGTGACTGGCACTGAAAGATGTCATCCTACAGAAGTGGCGTTACTCCATTTGGACTGCTTGTCCAGGTTACAGCATGGCAGGGCAGAACTGCACCCTCCCTCTCAGTTCTGCAGGGACCTCCCTAGAGGCAGAAGAACGTCTTTACTTTGAAGTCACTAACGTAGGCTTGGCCTTACCTGCTGATGTGAAGGGAAGCATTTGCTTAAAGAGGTAGATATATTTCATAAAGAGCTTGTGGGTTTCTTCTCAGCCTCCAAGGTGTTTGTTATCCTATCACGATGATGAGGGAGCTTTATCAAATTTTTGGAGATCTAAAATTTGGATATCATTACCTAAGCTGACTAACCTGTTCTGTAGTCCAGCAGAGTCCTCTTTAAGTCCAAAGAAAATGGCACCTACAACCAGTCCCAGGAAAGTCGTAACACACAGCTAAATGTAAAAAAGAAAAGAAGAAAAGTATTATTCTCATCGCTTTCAAAGTTTCAGTAATTTTTTTTTTAACATGTAGCAGGTAAGTGTAGATTGACAGGAAGTGTTTTCAGAAAGGAGAAAAGCTACCCAAGCTTTTGGGAAGGGAGTTGATGGGGTGGTTAGCAACCTGCAGCACAGCAGTGTTTTGAGTCTTGCCCCACGGTATCCTTTGAGAGGTGTCTGTGAGACACAGCAGCTCCCTGGTGCCACCTGCCCTCAGCAGCAGCCAGATGCTGCTGCCTCATGTGGGCAAGGCACTGGGACGACTGAGGAAGGAGGGACTGTACAGGAGCTTCAACTGCCGCTCACTCTTCTGCGGTGGTGCTGGCAGGAGGTACGTTCCTGCAGCCATATCACAGCTTTTCCCCGACCTCCGGCCAGGCCAGGTCTATGACTTCAGTGCCAGGGAGCATGCTAGCACCAGCGATAGGAGGAGGACGATAGCAAGGGCTTGGTGGGGCAGGTTAGCAAGAGGGAATAACACCTTTCCCCAGAGGAACCCCAGCATCACGTCCACCTCAGCCAAGCTCCTTTCCCCCACCACTGTTTCAGCCATTCTTGGATGTTGCGATTAAATTAATTGGTGGTGTCTTGCAATGTTGCTCCTCTCTCCCTACTGATACTCTTCACCATTCATCCTCCCTGGGACAGTCAGTGACTCATCTGCTGCCAGTGACAAGGGTAACTTCAGCTCTAGGGCTGACCACGGCTCTTCGGCGCAGTGCTTCTGTGGTGGTTTCTCTGGAGCCATCTCAATGCTACTTTGAGCTTGGCAATCAATAATCAAAAGCAGTCTTTCCTGACTGCTGGGTTAGGGATGACAGTGATTTTTCATGCTCCACAGTGTGTAATTGCTGGGCTCTATCACACACCTTATTCATGGGATTGTTTTTAACATGAGCAAGATACTGTGATCAGGCCATAGGTGTACTGATAATTGCAGTCTGTAACACAATTTAAATAGCAAAGATACCAGCTGCCTCAAGGATATAATTTAAAAGACTGAAGTGTGTACATCACACTTTTTAATGCTAAATGCAAATGACAAAAATCTCAGCAAAACTGATGGTATCAGGCAGTTCTGTCATTTTTAAGCACGAGCAATGCATGTATTGTAATACCATAAACTCCTTGATCCATGGTACCCTATCGCTAAGATCCTGCCGAAAGGAGCAAATGTCAGGGATAATTGAGCTCCTAAGCCAATTGCAGTGGAAAGCAGGGATCATATCAAGACCAATTTGGAGCAGATTAATGAAAAAAGGCTTAATGAGCTATGTACCTCTCAAAGAGTGCTTGTAAAATCCATCCCTAATGAGGGTGGGGAGATAGAAAAGATTGTGAGAAACAAGTCAGGACCTTGGGGCATTACAAGATCCTTGAGAGTCTAATTCTTGTCACAAGGTCAAGCTTTTACAAAGCAATTATTAAGGATCTCCACAGTATCAACATACAGACACACACACACATACTCAAAGCCTTTTAACCTCAGAGATTCTGGACTCATTTCCCCTCCATACTGGCTGGCTGTTCACTCATTATATAAACCATTATGAAGATAATTTATACCCCTGGCTTGGGACCAATTTTTCTGTTGGCTTCTCTAGAATTGCTGAGAATTGCAGTGGGAGTTTTGCTGGTGCTGGGACTGCAGAGTTTGGCTCGTGAATTAGGGAATTCCTGAGGATTAGCCATTCTGCAGAGGTCAGCCAGGCATTCTTTATTTTTGAAAGCAATGTGCAGCTTTGAAGAAATCAACACTTTTGGTGTTGATTCTTCTGAAAAAGCAGCACTAACAGGGCCAGTCATGTAAAACATGCTCATTTTCCATGGCAGGTGTTAGACCCTGTTGTGATCTTCATCACATCTCCAGAAGACATCATTCCCATTATGAACAGGCATTACGGAGACCATGAAAATATTTTTACACTTGATTCAACTGCCAGCACTTCATTGTGTGCTGAAGTTTAATTAAGTCTGTTAACTTTCCCTGGCTGGGGAGAAGATTTGAAGCCAAACCCCACAGTGCCAAGCCTGGACAATTGGAGTCTGAAGAATGTTCTTGAGCAAATGTGTGAAACTACTTCGGAGATAATCTCCTGGCTGGGAGCAGCAGAACACCCTGCTGGAAAAGGTCTTGCCTCCCAAAGTCTTTCAGTAGTCCAAAATTAATTACTGGATGGTCCCTTATGCTGCTCATTTTGGAGCATTCAGGACACCTTGTAGTGAATCAGATTCACAGACTATGAACACTCTTTTTTCAGATGCTTACTGCAGTCAAAATATCAAGAGGCAAAACCATCCCAGTGACTTATCTAATACAGGAGGGGAATAAATTCAACCTACACCACAAAAGGATAGATACAAATAGCATTACCTGAGCTATAGAAGCCTGAGGGTTTCCTACCAGATTTTTAAATGTGCGTTTGGACACCCATTTCAGCTGATGAAGGAAGGAATTGGCGTATGTGATTTGTCGGAAAACTGCTTTTGTTTTCTTTATATTTCCTGGAGAAATATTCTCTAATACTGCTTTTGTTTCTTGGTAGTAGGCAGAGTTGGAGTATTTTTCTGCTAACTTCTCAGCCAAGGTTTTATCACATTCAGTGTGTTCTTCAGTGCTCTCTGCTGAAAAGATTAAAAAGAAATATGACTTTCTGTAAGGGATGGGAAGACTGTTTAGGAGTTAAGCCTGGAGAGTTATGTTGGGGTGGGAGAGTTACTAACGAACCAGAAGAACTAATGTGCACGTTTAGTTCCAGTGATTCGTTGCACTCCGTCTCCTAGCATGCAATTCAAAAGAGTCAGTATAAATAAGACCAAACCTCTGTGTTTGTCTATGCAACCTGTCCCACAGGCAGCTGCTTCACAGCAGACTGACTAGGTAAACCCTTGTCTGCCAAAGAAATTTCAAACTGGCAGCAATCTGACTTTTAATCAAAAAGTGATTCCCCCCTCCCCCTCGCCCCCAGGTTTCTGTAAGTAAGTGATCTGTTTTGCAGATATGATAAGATAATCCTAGACATCCCAGACTTTTAGACCCAGGTAATCTGGCATGTGTCTAATTCAGTCAAACTTTGGAGTTTGTCATAAAGAAATTTCAGCTGGAGCTCCTTTTTTTTTGTCTCAACTGTACTCCACTATGTGCTTTTCCACTGACAAATACAATGTGTGTTGCCAGCTATAATACTAGTCAGACCCTGAACACACTCAGCATTTTTGTAAAATGCTGGTGCCTTCTTTGGTAAAGGTACAGTGAAACTGTGTTTGGGCACATAGCATATTCATTATTTCATTTCCTTTTTCATTCATGTGAAAAGAGAGTGTGCTATTAATGAGTAGCAACAGACAGGATGAAAAAACATGTTACTGAACAGTGAGATTTTATTTGTTAGTTTGGGGTAATTTCTGCCTTACTACGACTTCAGGGAAGCTTCAGGAGAACACTGGTCCCTTATCCCCTACTCCCTCTTCCTACCCTACTCAGAGGAAGGAAATCAGTAATTTGATAACAGATAAACCATTACCATTAGGTAAAAAATACAAGTCATAACTGCATCAAATTACGTCCGTAACTGGAACAATTGTCCTGGTTTATTGTCTCTGTTTCTGCAGGACTTCAGTTGGTTAGCCTTAAAGATGAAAGAAGCTCTTTCTCTGTGTTGAGAGGTAACAAAATAGTTTCTTATATTCCCAGACATTATAACTTCAACACAGGAGAATATTCTTTCACCTTTAACATCTTGTAATTTGAGTGTGACACAAAAGTATACAGGTGAGTTTATGAAGAAATGGATAGCAATGATAAATTACTAAATACCTATTTATGAGAAGCAAACTATTCTTGCATAGACAGGAATATTTTTTATAATAGGGCTGTATGTGAATTTGGTATTTATTTCAGGTTATGCTAATTATTTTCCATGTATAAACAAAAAGAAATGGTGTGGGGGGTGTGTTTCCCTTTAAAGCAACATGGATCAGCAGTATGTAATACTCTCATGCACACAAATAACAGTATGCTTGTACAACATGGTTATTGGTTGTTTGACGCTTGTGATTTTTCTATGTTGTGCTGGATGCCTTCTGGCAAAATACGCGTTACGGTAATTTCACTCAGCTCTGGGTTTCGTACCTGTGTTAGTTTCATCGGTCCTGCTCATTGCCACTGCAGTGGAGTCTCCATTAATGATGTCCAGGAAAAAGTCGGCAGGGTTGTTGTACGGCTCACACTTGTAGCCTGTGGTGACAGCATTACAAGCCCTGAGCGGTGGTTGTGTGACTGACAGAGGGCTGGGCATGGCCGTCATGAACACAGCCATGCCATCGTGCCTGTTGAGCAGCCTGCACCATAAGCATTGCGGGCTTCAAAAGGTCCGTGCTTACCCACGAGACGAACAGCGCTGCCAGACAGCTCTATCAGTGAAAGTCAGGTGACAGCTAGCAATGTGCCCTTCTCAACCTTAGCCTGGGTTTTGTCTAATTAAGATGTGCCTGGGAACAGCTGATTAGAGGTCAGCCCTATTGTCCAAACCCACATATGGGTCAAGAGGTGAAACACCAAGAGAAATGCTTGGCCTGTTAAAATCCCGGGCTTGCTAATACACACCATGTCCAATTCTGATCAAGCACGATTGGCATTTTGTTCAAGTTAGTGCAAACTGAAGGTGTTGCTACAGTTGGCCCCGCTGTGAGTTGTGCTCACCGATAGACTGGAAGTACCCGATGGCATGCTGAGCAGGCCCGTGGTATAGCACTCTCCCCGCAGCCAGCAGCGTCAGGTTGTCAAACAGTCGGAATATGGAGTACCGAGGCTGGTGGATGGAGATGATTATTGTTTTTCCTTGTATTGCCATCCTGAATGTGAAGAATGACAGAGGTGTTAGCTTTGCAAGTTGTTTCAGCATTTAGATAAGAGAATTTGCAAATTCAGTTAAGCCTTGGTAAGGTTTGATTAACTTGGCATGCCAGAGAGGGCAGGGGAAAGGAAAAAAAAAAAAAAAAGATAATATTTAGGTAATATTCCTAGTGTCTGTGTGAGAAAAGAAAGTTCCCTCTCACCGGGAATGTTGTTGGAAGGGAAGGTCCTAGGAAGATTTTGATGCAAACAGAAAGCTCTGGAGAGAGGTGTTTGAGTCCTCTTTGCTTGTAGTAGATGCAAAATTGTGTAAAATTTGCAAATAGAATAGCTAACTGTGTCCTAACTACCATCCATGTTAAAATTGATCACCTTACCAGACCGTACAACAGGCGTTTTTATCACTTTCTGACCCAAGCAGACATGAAAATGAAGCTGTCCACGACAGCTATTACGGACAAATTGCAGTCCCGGCACGCACGCATTTTGTGCAAGGCACTTTGTGTACTGCTGCGAGCAGCTGCTTTGGAGTGAGAGAATTCATACAGCCTTTTTCCTGCTCCCTTTGCAGCCTGGGCTGACTGGTAAGTAGCTACATGTCTGATTTCCCTGATTGCCCATTCCAACTGTAATTTAAATCAAATACATCTGGAATGTGGCAGAGTTGAGTAGTGAAAACAGGAAGCTGTTTCCAAGGCCATCACCTTTTCAGTAGCAGTAGGACAGCGTTAGCAGTGCTGGCATCGAGTCCCGTAGTTGGCTCATCCAAAAACAAGATGGCAGGATCCGTGATGAGCTCCATCCCAATATTGGTCCTTTTCCGCTCTCCTCCAGACACCCCGCGAGTGAACTGAGTGCCAACCTGCCACAAAACAAGAGACTTGTCTCATTTGGCCTGATAACAGATATTTCAGTGAACAGCATCCAACCAACATGGCAATATTTGGGAAGAGTTGTAAGAAATTTTGACCCTATTCTCAGGTGCAGATGTAGATGTCACCTCACACATAGGTTGTTTCTTAACATTAGTATTACTTGAGGTGGTCTCTTTTTTCTCCAACCACAGACTACCTTTCCCCTTCCCCTCAATGTGATAGCATATGGCAGTATCAATGCAGGGTCTGTACAGATCACCGTACAGAAATGTTATTAATTATTGTATTACTGGAATAGTCTGTTGAATTTTACTTTTTTTTATCTGCCATGCTGAGCCATTTGGTTAATTAAATAAATCACTTAATATTTGTTCATTATTTAAGTACCATATTTACACGCCTTACCTTGGAATCTGCCACTTTGCTCAAACCCAGTTCCTTGATAATCTGATTCACTCGTTCATCTTTTTCCTGTTCCTTCACTGACTTTGGCAAACGGAGTGCTGCTGAGAACTTCAAATTTTCTCTTACAGTCAGGGTTCCCACCACCACATCATCCTTGATGAAAAAAAAAGTAGGTAATTGGTGGTTGCTTAGCAATTTCTGTTTTTTCCTCTGAGAACTGCAACTACATGTGTTTTACGTTGTCCTGCATGCAGAGGGCCAGTAACAACCACCAGAACATGCGATAAGGTGCATCTTCAATGCCTGTGTCATAGCAGACACTTCATTTCATGCATGTAACTATATTTGCCTTTATTCATAAAGCAACGCAATATAGGAACATCCTCCATCATGCATGATATCAAAATGCATAAATAGCAATGTATCCAAAACTGTCGCTCATGTATTCTTACCTTATTTGGCTTTTTGGAGGTGTTGAGTGAGATGCTAAAGGGACCTAAGGAGCAGCTACAGCTCAGGTGACTATCACTGTGCATTTGTTAGTGCAGCCTCAGCCCACCGCAGGTAAGTGCAGGGAGAAGAGAAGAAAGGAAAAGAGAGGTTGGGTCCATTTGGGGTATGGTGAAGGTTTTCCAAGCTTGTTTCAGCAAAGGAGGAAGGAGGGTAGGTTTTTGATATATTAGCTGCTTGTCTCTTGCAAAAGGAATCTGTCAGACGTAGGAAGTTCAGAGAGTTATGTGTGCTTTGAGAGACTACCTTTCTGTAAGATGCTGACCATAAATTTCTGAGGGGTTTTCATAGGTGCGCCTCTTCAGGTCTTGATAAACTGCAAGCATGCTGCTGAGCACAAGTAGTGGGGAGGGGAAAGAAATGAAAAGAGGGATGCGGTTTTCCTTCTTTTGTCCTTCACATGTCTTTCTCCCCAGCCTACGCTGGCAGGACAAAGGTTTTCTCAGAACAGGACTTACTGACATTGTCCCTGGGCAAGCAGAGTTACAAGCTTTATATTACCAGAAAGCATCATACTTGAAAAATACTCCATTCATATTGGTACAGCTGTTCCCCCAAATGGAGAACAAGGAAGGACCCAAAGCATCCGCTCCTGTTGACTGTAGAGCATTAAGGAAAGAGACTCAAATACAAAGTAGAGTCTCTTTCCCAGTGAGGGTGGACATAGAATCATGGAATCATAGAATGGTTAGGGTTGGAAGGGACCTCAAAGATCATCTAGTTCCACCCCCCCTGCTGCGGGCAGGGACACCCTCCACTAGACCACGTTGCCCAAAGCCTCATCCAACCTGGTCTTAAACACTTCCAGGGAGGGGGCATCCATAACATGTGGAGAGTTGCTACTGCACCAGCCTTGATTCTTGGATCAAGGCAAGCTACTTGCAACACTGCAGCAACTTCTTGCAACTGCAGTCAGAAGGAGACAATAAAATCCATAGAGTGATAAAAATTACTTACCTGTACTACATATCCAGAGGTACATTTAAAGTTAGCAGGCTGAGGAGCTCCATTGATCAAAATGTCACCAGACAGCCCATGGGGATCCTTCCTGGCAGCCAAGATGTCAAGTAGACTAGGAGATAAGTTGGTTACTTTGTCAGGTGACTGTGCAAGAGGTAAGCTCTCTGAACCACAAACCCAGTTCATGGAATGAACAACTACATAAAAGCATCCCATGTTAAAAATTTGCTATTCAGAAAACCTCCCGCAACTTTCAAGGACTGAGTTGCTTTTGTCCTGATTTTCTGGGTAATTTCATAGTGCATTTGTGTCCATTCATTCAATAATATGATCTTAACCTAGAATGATACATAAAGATAGTGTATCAGGAAAGTGTGGACTAAAATTGAATTACATCTTTGTAATGTAAGCTGATTGTCTTTTTTTGAATTCAGGTATTTCTCAAAAAACAGTGAAATTTGCACAGACTTAAATGAAAACAAAATCTTTCCCAGAAAGTATTGTCCATTACTGCTAAAATATTTGCAAGTTCATTTTCTCCTTGGTGTAATTTCTGTGTAGGGCAAAGAGGGCACTTACGAAGATTTACCACTGCCAGTGGGTCCCAAAATTGCATTTAGTCCTGGTCTCATGATGCCACTGTAAGACAAAACAGGTAGGTTTTACAAAATAGGGTGGTTTTATCTCACTTACTGTTTCATCTGATAGGCTAGTGTAAATTATCTGTAGAACTACTTTCTGCATCCCGTTAATTTTGGAATTAATGAAGCTGCCTGATTACGAAAAATATTTGTGCTCCACCTTAATTTTTATTCTTAATTCAGGAAGAACGAATCCTCATATAATGAAGACAACACAGAAACTTGAGTAAAATGTAGCAAAACTCATATGCATGCTTCTGCCCCGTGGATCTCTAGAAATGAAGCACACACTTGCTTTAACCACATTCAGTTCTAAAGGTATTACTCTCTTAACAGAGAGAATAATGGTTCCTGTAGACCGAACATATTAGGGATTTGTCTGTACTTACAGGAACTGCAGTTGATGATAATTTCTCCGTATCTGATTTTAAACCACATGAAACTCAAAAGCCAGATAGATAGAAAAGGTTTTTAAGTATTTAGAGAAAAGACCCTATAGAAATGATACAGTATATGGAAATACTGCTGCCTTTTTTTTTTTTTTGTCTTTTTACTGGAGCACATGAAGGCATCACTGCTCTTTTTCCTGACTAGCCCCTACAACCTGCGCTCAGCAAGCTTTGGTGTACACAAGAATCACGCTGCACATACAGATGCCTGTCTGTATGTGTACCAGGTTTGTCTTGAACTGCACTCTGATACTGGTTGTTACCAGCAATGCAGGTATCAGCAATCTGGGTACTTGGCTGTGAGTCTGACCCAGTACAGCTGTTCTTAGGGTCTAATGACATGCAGCCTAGGAGGCTTGGTTTTGCTCTTCCTGATGCCTATCCGTTTCCTTCAGTTTCTTATCGCGGAAATTTATGGTTCCACAGATTAAAAAGCATACACGTTATACATACATTATGTTGTATGTGATTTTAACACCAAAACCCAATATGTAACAAAACAAATGCAGATGTTGCATGTTCTAAAAGGGAAAAGCATAATGTGTGTTAAATGTTGGTCTTTTACAATAAGCCACAAGAGGGGCCTTTTTCTCACATCATTGCAAATGGCCAATGGCAGTCAATTGAGTCACTATAACATACGGCTCTTGAGGAGAGTATTGAATTGAGTATTTATAAAACACCAACCCTGTGATGTCTCCTTTCACTTACACAGGATGGAAGAACCAGCAGTATTGAGATGGTGGGAGACAAAGTGCCAGAACAAGCACCTAACACTTGGCACAGGTATAAATTGGGAGAGGAACGGCTAGAGAGCATCTCTGTAGAAAGGGATCCCGGGGTGCTGGTCAACAGCATGCTCAACAGGAGTCAGCAGTGTGCCCTGGCAGCCAGGAGGGCAAAACACATCACGGGGCACATTAAATACAGTATAACCAGCTGGCCAAAGAGGTGATTATCCCGCTGTATTCAGACAGGTGTTTCACATACCTTTACCCTGCCCTTTGACACCTCGATATGTATATTGATATCTTAAGCCAACCTAAAGCAGCGTAGCTCTATGAAAGATAGAGATTAAAGATTTTAAGAGCTCATGTTTAGGAGGTGTGGAAATTGCACGGGCAAAGAGCAGGACAGACAGCGCTACACAAAAGGGTGGATATTTATGGTAGAAATTGGAGTTAGGGTGCTGAAAGTGGCTTGGAATGGCATATTGTATGCGTACTTGCCACTTAGCTTAACTACTGAACTGTGAATGGGCAAACTTTATGTATAGGTTATTGAACAAAGACCATAACGACGCCATTCCTCTACTGCAGTAGTGCTCAGTGTTGGGAGGGGGAAGGCAAGACAGAGAAAAGTTTACATGTCTTCAAAGTTAACCTAACCCTTGTTTATATTACAGTCTTAAACATTTTAACAAAATTAACCTTCCCAAAGGCC